TTTATTGTGATCCACACAGTCAAAGGCTTTGGCATAGAATACACAGAAGAACTGTACAAAAAAGGATCTTCATGAAACAGATAATCACGATGGTGTGATCACTCACCTAGAGCCAGACATCCTGGAATGTGAAGTCAAGTGGGCCTTAGGAAGCATTACTAAGAACAGAGCTAATGGAGGTGATGGAATTCCAGTTGACCTCTTTCAAATCCTGAAACATGATGCTGTGAAAGTGCTGTACTCAATATGCCAGCAAGTTTGGAAAACTCAGCAGTGGCCACAGGTCTGGAAAAGGTCAGTTTTCATTCCAATCCCAAAGAAAGGCAATGCCAAAGAATGCTCAAACGACCACACAATTGCACTCATCTCACATGCCAGTAAAGTAAAGCTCAAAATTCTCCAAGCCAGGCTTCAGCAATACATGAACCATGAACTTCCAGATGTTCAAGCTGGTTTTAGAAAAGGCAGAAGAGCCAGAGATCAAATTGCCAACATCTGCTGGATCATCAAAAAAGCAAGAGAGTTCCAGAAAAAAATCTACTGCTTTATTGACTATGCCAAAGCCTCTGACTGTGTGGATCACAATAAGCTGTGGAAAATTCTCATTGGGTGGTTTCTAGGTAATCATACCTCTTACATAGCAACTAGTTTCTGAGAAGCAGGAATTAACTGTCAGGCCAGTTAGTGGCTAAGCCCAGAACTGGCGCATCATCATATCCACTGTATTCTATTGCCACAGCAATCACGGGGACTCTCCAGATTCAGGAGGGTAGAGGAAGAATGACCTCTCCACAGGAAAGTAGCAATGTCACATGGTAGGAGAGCATGTGGGTTGGAAGACACTGTTGCAGTCATCTTTGGAATATGCCATCTGCCATAGCTGAAATGCACTCTGGCAATAATCTGAGATTGTATGGAGAATCAAGATTTTGAAATAGTCTTAGGTATTCTTAAAAATTCCTGCTTCTTAGAGATTTTCATTGTGATCTTGTACAAAAATTGGAACTAGTAAGCTTGATTTTATTTCTGGATCTCCTTTACTGGTGGACTTATTAATGTTACATTCTACTGGAAAGTGTTATAAGTCACTTCTTACTTGGGGGAAGGATGTGGAAAAGAGAAGGTAAGGATATGAACAGCATCAAAACATTACCAACTCTCCCTTTCCCTTTTCCACATCACAGAAAGTGACTAGGACAGATACAACATGGCCCTAGAAGACTCAAGTTAGAGAGGGACAGACAGAAACTACAACAATATAGCCATTTCTGCTAACTAGTAAAGTGGTCAACCAGCATTTTGCAGAGCATTTTGAAACACAGCAAGTCTTCTATAGAAAACTACTGGTAAAAACTGCCCTTTGAGGAATGCATATGCAAAGCCTCTAAGCCTGCCACTAGAAATAAGCATCCTGAAAGAGAAGAATCCCAACCTAGGAAGCTGAGGCAAGAGGATTTCTAAAACCTAGAAGAATCAGAATAGTCCTTTGGCCACACTAATTAGGGGTTTCCTCACTTTCTCAGTGAAAAAGGCCAATAGACAGCAGAATCCACAATAAAAGATATGTTAAATACAAAATACCCTTTACTGTGTATATGTGTTAATCACCCAGTTGTGTTTGACTCTTTGCGACCCCATGGACTATAGCCTGCCAGGCTCCTCTGTGCATGGAATTCTCCAGGCGAGAATACTGGAGGGGTTTGCCATTCCCTTCTCCAGGGGATCGTCCCAGCCCAAGGATCAAATCCAGGTCTCCCACATTGCAGGCAGATTCTTTCCCATCTGAGCCAAATTCAGTTACATATGATAGCATATTTAAAAGTTAAATTTCTCATCTCAGAATGAAGATTTAGTTTTCTCAGCAAATCCACTGGTTGCCTTTATAAATTCCAAAATTAAAGAGCCCTTTACAGTGCAAGTTATTCATAACCTCAGTTGAAGGCATACTAACTGAGTATTTTGGTCAAAATTCTTGTGTCCAGAATGGACAAAATCCTTCACAACTCTTCCCTCCAAGATTGATCTGGATCTGGATCCACCACATGTTTCATTAACATATCCATGTGGATGATAGAGAAAGAGTCCAGCATGGTCTGATACTCAGTTTGGGCTCTATGAATTACCCTCTCTACCCCCCTGGAATAACTAGTTTGAACATATCTGAAGGCCAAGTATGATCAGAAAGACAGGTTTAATATACTTTATTACCTACCAATAAGATCTCCTAGAAACTGCTCAATTTATTATTGGCAAAATCTGCTATTACCAGAGAAGGATCTTCAGAGAATGGTTCTCAAAAAGATGAAGTCTAGTCAGTCTTCATGGGATTACATTGTAAGGTTGCCTATATCCTGTGTTCAAAAACAACTCCAGTGGGCATGACACATCATGCAGATTTGTGTGTGTGTGTGTATGCAGGTTATGGCTGGTAGTGAGAAACTGGTGAGGAGAGAATCAGTGATTCCTAAGAGAAGACAGAAGAAAACTGTTGAGCTTTGAAAAATAATCCTAGGAGTACTTTTGCATTTTTTTTTAGTTTCTGGTGTATAGGAGTTTTATGCATAAAACTTACTTTTGAATATGATAGTAGTCTTCTGTGTTTAGTTTATTGCAACATGATTCTTCATGGCCAGTCCTTCTGCCTCCTGTCCAGTTTTTTTTTTTTTCTCACTAAACTCCACCTTGCCAATCCCTACTCCATGTTAAAGGTAAATGGAATGATATTCACTGTCTCAAATAAGTTACACTCTGTCCCAGTTCCATGTCTCTGTGTCTTGAATGCCCTTTCTTGCTTTGGCCGCCAGGCAAATATCTACTCATCTTTTAAGAGTCAGCTCAAATATCACCTCCCCTGTTCAGCCTTTCCTCACCTTGAGCATTATTCCTAACCCTTGCCAGGGACAATTGACCATTCCCTCCTTGGTAATCCCTATTAATCTGAATGTATTTCTATAGTAAAGTTACATAACTTATTGCTTCTTTTTATTTAAATATCTATCTCCTTTCCTCCCACCAAGAAGTAAGCCTCCAGAGGGCAGCTGCATGTATTCTTTCAGAGACCTAGGACTCCAGCTTTTCAATCAACTGGGTAAAATTTCTCAGCTCCTTCCGATACATTCCACTCTTGTGTTCAAGTTAGTGGAAGTCAATTTCTATTTCATATAACTACAGAACACTAATGGTTGCAGAAATATACTGAAACTGAACCAACTGTCTGAATAGAAAGGTCTCAAGAAGCTTAGAGCACAGAGAAAAGAAATCTAAAGAATCAGACGTTGGCAGGGTCTGTCCAGTGTTCTTCAGAGGAGGGTGTGCCCTCTATGAGAACTCACTCAGTATGGTGACTAGAAAGGTGTTCTCTACTGTGGGTGGAGGATAATTCTTCAAACCTCCTCTTCATGGCCTGGAGGATATTCCTAGACTTTTTGCTACTTTTTTCCTCTGATTCCACGCTATCAGCTAACCTTATAATCACAAATTCAATTCCCAGGGTGTTATGAGGTGAGGAAGGAAGTAACATTGGTAATCGGAAAAGAATATCCCCTCTGTAAACATGTGCATAACATCTGTAAGTGAATAATGTTGTACAGCAGTCCCTTCATAATTTGGACAGTCTCAAATCAATCTGACAAACATCAGAGTCCTAGCAAAGTTGTTTCTCAACCTGTAAGACTAAGATTGGCCTGAGGTGACCTCACCAAGGTAGTGTCACCATCTGAGGCTCCACTGTTTCTCCAGATTATATTCCTCTTTCCTACCACTTTTTCTTACTTCACCACAATTTTCAATAATACGTTAGTAGTGGGTAAATCTCTGAGGCCCACATTATTTCCTACCTATAGGTTTAGACAGTAAGTAAAACATAATTTTCTAACCATCAGCTATAATTAGAAAGGCAAATGCATCAATAGTCGAATGGATAAAGATGTATATATCACAATAGATTACTACTCATCCACAAAAAATGCAATAATGCCATTTGCAACAACATGGATGAACCTAGAGGTTTTTGTACTAAGCGAAGTCAGAAAGAGAAAGACAAATACCATATGATATCACCTATTTGTGGAATCTAAAGTATGACACAAATGAACTTATTCATGAAACAGAAACAGACTCTCAGACATAGAAAGCAAATTTATGGTTATCAAAGAGGAAAGGGGGTAGAGGAGTGATAAATTAGGACTTTGGGATTAACAGATACAAGCTCCTATATGTAAAATAGATAAGCAACAAGGTCCTTCTGTGTAGCACTGGGAACCATATTCAACATCCTATAATAAACCATAATGCAAAGAATATGAAAAAGTATATATATATATATACACACATACACACACACACATATATGTATATGAATCATTTTGTTGTACACTAGAAGCTAACAGATCATTGCAAATCAACTATACTTCAATTAAAAAAAAAAAAAGCCAAGTGAGCAAGGTTTGGTTCTATCTCTGTATAATAAAAGGGTTTGTTAAGAAAACTGACCATGGAAAGCAATAGTTTCTCTGTTTTTTTCCTGTGAAATATAAGAATGGTGTTGGCATGAGCAATACAGCCCATGTGCAATGCCTGGCTTCATCTCTGAAATCCCACCCCTGCCTTTTCTCTCAAGAAAACATATTGAAATATAAATGTGTGACCATGATATTATTGTGATAACCTTAAGTCTTCCTTCAGTTCAGTCACTCAGTTGTAGCTGAGTCTTTGCGACCCCATCGACTGCAGCATGCCAGGCCTCCCTGTCCATCACCAACTTCCGGAGTTTACTCAAACTCAAGTCTCCCTTCATTTATTTTTAAAAGTCAGTCATTTGCAAACTTTCATATTTTTACTATGATTGGTATTAGGTTGCTTTTGACATAACACTGTGTTCTGTTGAGACCTGCTAATGTAAATACTGAAGGGAGAACATTTCAGCTAATTATTAACTAAGTTGTTTAGAAAACTTGTCTAGTGTTTGTAGTTAACATGCCAACTTTACTCTTTCTTTTCAGTTCTAAGAGGAGGAACAGAACCATAATTCAGTAGTACTGAGAGCCTGGCCTGAAGTAACTATGTATATGTGAAACCAAGAAGTCACTTCATTATCCCAAAGTTATTTGTCTTGTGTCCCCCTCACAAATTCAGGCTGACCTTTCTAATCTGGTCAAATAAACAATATTTTACTGAATACTGAAAGTTTTGAGAAAGTTCAAGTCACTTGACACTGATGCTTTTTTCATTCCAAGATTGTTGATTTAGATCCCTCAGCTCCACAGTGCTTAATCCCTGGCTGCAGGTTGCAAACTACAAATGCTGGGTAACACCTTCCTTAGGCCACTTATGGATTTATCTAGTACTTGACCTGCAATTTTTGCCTCTTGAATGATAGATCTATGTGATAGAATTTATAGAAGCAAGTGATACTTAATGAAGGGTCATAAGGAAATGTTTTTCATGCCAATATCACACAGAATATGTGGGAGTGATGCCCTAAAGTTTAGAGTATTGTGCTGTTCTGCCTATACCTTATATTGATTGTTCTGGTACTGCAGAGTCTTTTTAAGAAACGCTGTGAGCCTGCATCCTACATGTGTGGAATTGCCTGGGAACCAAGCAATGAATTAAAGATGGCACAGCTCCCTTTGCTTAACGTTTCCTATTTTTTCAGGGGGTTTGTTTTGCAACTTTAATATTATTAATCTACACAACATTTTACTTTTCATTCAGAGTTTATATCAGAATCAAGCTAATAAATTAAAGATGAGTTAGTTCATTGTTGGGTGGTTTAACATGGACCTAGTATGTTAATCCTGATGTGCTTGTTACTAGGATTTAAAATTTTTTTATTATTATTATTTTTTCTGCCTTGTAGCTGTGGTTAGGCAGCAGCAATAAATCAGAACAAAAAATGAAGGTATTGGGGCTTTAGGGAAAACATGTATTAGAAAAAATTGGCTTGGCACTAAGGGCTGTATTGCATTAAGATGGATTTTAGAGATACAGAGGTAAGAGAATGCAGACAAATAAATTGCATAAATAATCTGAGAAATAGCAAGTCTGTACAGACCCTGAGTAACCCTGTAAGCTACCATCAACAGGACTTCCTAATTCCTGTTCAAGCAGACCAAACAGGTACACTCTACTTAAACAAATAGCCAGGAGAAATGGGTACCTGCTAATGCTAGGGAAAGTGGGAGGAACAGATAAAGCTCTTTAGAATAGCCCAAAGGATTGGAATAATAGAAGTCAGTGTAGGAGCCTGACATAGCATCTTCTGTGAATAGGGCTTTATTGCCACTCCAGGCAGTGATATTGCAAACACACACTAAGACAACCAGAAACTGGGAGCCTCACAGTGCGACTTGTGCCTGAGAATGCAGTTCTCTGCAGTAGGGAATTCGTGCTGACAGCCTGAATACAGAGGAGACAGGAAAGAACATTTAGATAAGACAGAGCATGTGAATACAAGACATGGTGTAGAAGGTGGAGTTGATGGGAATAAGATAGGACCATTCCAGGGCCCCAAGGAAGTGCAAGGATGCCAGAAAATACCTAAAGAATAAACAGAGCAAAAGAGACTTCTCCTAGCAGCCAGAATGGTATCTGAACTGAGAGACCCACAAGTTCTGAAATAGATTATTTTCAACTGAAACATAAAAGCTCTGTAGATGCGGAGAGACAGCTTGTTTGAAGCCCTGAACTGGCTTTTGTGGTACAGATGTATCTGTTTTTTCTCTGGTTCCCTGATCCAGGCATGCATCAGTATGCAGGGAACAGCCTGGTCCCTGTTCTTATCTTTGATGTTCACCTGGAGCTCTTTTGGTTGGTTTACCGACAAGCTCTTTCCTGGCCCTGAATCCATTGCCTATGTCTGCTTCAGGTCCTGTTTCTCACTGAGCCAATCTACCTACCTTCTTGACCTTCCTTTCTCCTACCCTTTTTTACTCACCCTTCTTCAGCTTCCCCCACAAGTTGTATCTGACAGGATGTGACTGGCAAACCACTGGTGGTTATCTCCAAGACAATAGTAATCAATATTAACCACACTATCCCATGCAGCCTGGTTGAGTTCTGTTAATTGTCATTAAAAATGGGCATATTTCTTTGTGGTTTCATGGGTTTGCAAGAGCTGACAGCCCCAGTTCAAGTAGAGGTTACCACCTTTTTGACCCCTTTCCCTTCCCTCTTATTCAAATAAGAATAACATGTGGACTAAAGGTCCATATAGTCAAAGCTATGGTTTTTCCAGGAGTCATGCATGGATGTGAGAGTTGGACTGTGAAGAAAGCTGAGTGCCAAAAAATTGATGCTTTTGAACCGCGGTGTTGGAGAAGCCTCTTGAGAGTCCCTTGGATTGTAAGGAGATCAAATCAGTCAATCTTAAAGGAAATCAGTCCTGAAAACTCATTTGAAGGACTGGAGCTAAAGCTGAAACTCCAATACTTTGGCTACCTGATGCAAAGAACTGACTCACTGGAAAAGATCCTGATGCTGGGAAAGATTGAAGGCAGGAGGAAAAGGCGATGACAGAGGATGAGATAGTTGGATGGCATCACTGACTTGATGGACATGAGTTTGAGCAAGCTCCAGGAGTTGGTGATGGACAGAGTAGCCTAGTGTGCTGCAGTCCATGGGGTCACAAAGAGTCAGACACAACTGAGTGACTGAACTGAACTGACTTCAAGGAACTTACAAACTAATATAAGTGATTAAAGATAAATGTTGTAAGTTCAATAACAGAAAAGAAATAAATAATTGTTTAAAAAACAGTAAAGGAAAAAGTCATAAGTCAGTACTTGGTTATATGGCAAATGAATGGGTACGAATTGGTACAAAATTCAAAAGCAAGAAGGAAGACTCCTTTAAGCTGGCAAGAAGTAGGGAACTGCCAGTCTTATCTATCAAGGAAAGTTGAAGGCTTAGGCTAGAGCTCTTCTGTAATCTCTGGCGTTGTAATTGAGGCGAAGGAAAAAGAAGAAAGAGCATTTTCATAGCTTGGGGACCAATGAGCAACTGACAAGAAAGGACATGGACAGATAAATCTCATCCTTTACATTAAACTTTGACTGCAACCTTTCATGTATCTTCCTGTGAAGACATGTGTATCCCCCTGATCTTGAATCAAGATCTTGGCACATCTAAAACTTGACAATATGTTTCTTGGGAAAACCTGTGAAGTGTGAATTGACAAGAAAATTCTGTCTGCAGGTCAGCATATGTAGCCTAAGAAATTTGTGCTCTTCAACCAGCCTGAAGCTAAAATCAGGCTATTTTCACTCTTTGGTTAAATGCTAGCTAACTTCATTTTAATACTGCACTGTCAGTATTTTATTTATTTGTCTGGATGCCACATTTCCTCTCCCAAATCTCCCTTTCATAAATGATTTACTATTTGTTCCTAAAGCTGAAGATTTTGTGCCTTGTCTCTTTTTTTCTGATAAGAGGATATTGCAGTAGCTTTCTTTTCATGCTGCTGATGGTTTTTATTTTGTTAATTCATAGTTCAGCAGAGTAACTAGTTTAGTAAGGCATAGAAAACCAAGAGATTCAGCCCTCGAAATGACTAAGACAGTAAATCTTCACTGGCCCATTATCACATAGAACCCTGTTGAATTTGCTTCCCTAAAAAATAAGTTAGCAAAGAGTGGTTCTTAAAATAGGTTTTACATTTTCTTAACTTTCCTAAACTAAGCATATTTAGCTACAGGACACTTAAGGTCCTTAAGATAAAATTATGAAAAAGCAGTTCTACAATGAAAATTCATAAATTTTGAAAAAAATGGGAGGAATTTTTTCTGAGTATACCCTCAATAGGTCTTCACATAGGAATGTAGACTGTGCTGCGTTTAAGACAGGGATTATGTGATTTTATAAAAATTTTCTATTTCTTTTAAGGCAGCATTTGGGATGTTATACTAAGAAAGTTATATACCATAGTTCTTTATAGTGGTGGTCACTAGACTAAGCTGTAAGATGTAAAACAAAAACAAAAATCAACATACTCACAAAATTAATTCACCAATTCAGTACTGAGCCTACTTTCCAAACTCATTTTGCTATTTTACAAAATGCAAGTCAATAGAAAGTCTATTCCATACTAAAAATTCTGCAAGTAAAGATCTGACTCCTGGAAATGCCGTGTCTCCCAACTTTCGTCCCTTGAGATTTGGGGAATAAACTGGTTATAAAGCCCCATATTGCTCTCAGAATGCTTCACCAGTTCCTTGAACTACTTCATTCTTTCAAAATTTCTAGATTGTTGACCTTAAGAAACAAAAAATATTCTTTGTTCAGGAAAATTGATGAGAAATAAAGAACAAACTTACTATTTGAGTATGAGTGGGGTTGGTATAGTAAATGTAAGAAGAAGAAATGGCAAAAATTCATCAGGATGCTTTTGTGATACTATGTAAACAGATTTCTTGAGTTTTAATTAGTTATATTTCTCTTCAGGATCACTGGTTATATATAACATGATTTAGGTCTACATAGTGCTTCTTCTCTCCCAGAAAATCATTGAATAATTCACAATCCAAAATAGAATGTATACTTTAGTACATCTCTCTAAAAATTTGGCAGACTAAGTTGATGAAAATAAATGAGGATACAGAGAACTGGTTTAACACAGTTACAAACTAAATCTTACTGATATATAGAACTTCATACCAAATAAACAGAAAATACATGTTTTTCTCAGATGTCTATGGAACTTTTATAAAAACTGATCATGTACTAAGTCACAAAGACAACCTCAATAAAATTCCCAAAGTTGAAACATAAATGTTACATTCTCTGAGCATATTGCACTACACACACACATACACACACACGCACACACGCACACTAGCCCCAAGTCTGACAATTTGAACATTTTAAAACAGGTTTCTAAGTGACTCTGGGAATAAAAATAAAGAAAAATGATGAGATTATAGAACCTTTGGTAATGAGCAACTAAGGCAACTTTCCATATGAAAAGCTATGGAAGTCAGAGAGATGTGATGTGATAAGTTGCTTTTGTGGACTTTGCAGAGCAATGGGGCTATGTACCAAGTTCAGTGGCTTGTTAATTGGCTATACCCCAAATAACAAAATAAAAAGTTTAAAAAAAAGAAGCTCAGGGGTCTGTAGAAGCTTGAAACAACCTCATGTTA